AGAAAATATATTTTGCAGTACTGTCCTGTATTTATTAAAAAGAAGTCCATGTATAAGTGGGCTTGAACAGTTCAAACCTGTGTTGTTTTCAAGGGTCATCTGTATTTCCAAAGGTAAATTTGTCTTTTATTCCGTTATGCACTCTCTCTCTTTTGGAAGTCTCAACTCTGGTTTTTTTGTTTTAGCTTGTCACTTGATTCGAGTCTTATTTCTTCGAATGGGACAGTTTTATTTAGATTATTTCACTATCACAGCAGACCTAACATCTCCAAAAACCCATGTCATCACCTCACTTGTATTGGGTTCCCCATCTTTTACACTAACATACTCCTCTTTAGTCACCAAATTCTGCAAATATTTCATATATTTGTCTCTTTCTTTCAGATTCAATTCTGAATCTGGCCCTGTCTGGCCCTAATCTTCCATCTAAGTTCTTGTAAGAGCTGAGCTGGGCTGTCTGGATATGGATTCTGCTCCCTCCAGTCATCTCGCATATTGTGACTAGAATGATCCTCAATCAAATTTCCTATTTCGTGTAAAATCAAGTGGAACCTCCTTTGCTTCTCTTTCAAGGTCATCCACACTCTTTACTCTCTGTTTCCCCCTCCTCCCCAAATCAACTCTCCTCCCACCCCACCCCCACCCCTGCCAACACACATGCTAAGGTGAATATTATGAGATCCACTCAGATACCCTCTTCAGGGTTGATGCACCCATCCCATCCCACCTCACCTCCTGACCCCAATGAATTAGTCAGCTGCTGATGGCTCAAAACTCCATCCCTTACTAAGAATTGTCCTTAGTGCAAGAGAATGCATGCTCCCTCCAGGGGATGCCCTGAAGCCTGTGACTGGCTGATGTGGAATCCAAACCCCTGTCCTCCTTGCTGCAATTTGGGACCACTCTAATCACCATCCCAGCACCAGAACTCTGCTTAGGATCAGATGGAGCCTCAATTGCAACCAGATTAATTTTTCTGCTACACAATCCTATTTCCTCATTCCCTTATAGGTTTGTGTTCTGAAATTACTCCCCAATAAACCTTCTGCACAAAACAGTTTGTCTCAGAGTTTGGGAGACCAATCTAAGATAGGCAGTTCCAGGAGTGGTCCAGAAAGTGTACTCTAAAACAGGATTTGGAGATGGATCACTTGCCAGTCAATTGCCAAAGATGGCCCCTGGCATGCTGTAGCATGCACTGTTAATATTTCTCCCAGGAATAAAGTGAGGTGGGATGTTTGTGAGGGGACTCCTGTCTGGTGCAGTCCTTTCGGTGCTTAAGAATTATAAGGTACACCACACACACACACACACAAAAAAAAGAATTACAAAGTACAGTGTGACTATACAGACTTTGGAATTGGGTAACAACTTCCAAGTGGCATAGATTTATTGAAGAGATTAAAAAAAAAGACAGGGTGATTGATGACCAATTCATTCAGAATATGAAAGCAATGTGGTCTCTGGCAGAGTTTAATTAAGCCCTAGTCTCCTGCAGTCAGGCAGACTCAATTGTAGACATAGTGCTATTTCAGAAAAGTTTGGATTCTTAGCTCCAGCAAGACTTCTGTGCCAAGGTTAAGGTCCTAATAAGGAAGGATTTAAATTCTAAAATTGGGATGAGAATACCTTGATAAATGTTGTCAAGAATCTCAAACTCCTCAATTCCTCTGAACTTGATAGGCCTGTTGTTAGACACCCACCCCTACTCGGGATGTGCTGGGTTAGCTAAAGGATAAGAGCAAAGTCACTGCAGGAGCCAGGTTAAGTATGGGATTGTGTTCTGAAGGTGCTGGATCAAGGAGGGGGAGCAGAGGGTTAAGCTATGTATCACCATGGGAGCACTCTCCCATGATTCAAGATTTACCACTGTGGCAAATACCATGTGATAGGGTACCAGCATGATTCTTAGAGTATCACAAAAACTGACCCACATTCAATGAAATAAAAATGCAAGAGCTTCTATGATGGATGGTGGAGGAAAGGATCCTCAGGCTCAGAGAAGTGGGCATGCTAAGGTGTATCTGCCATGTAAAGCTAAAAAACCCACCAGCCAATGACAGTCCCAGGAAAGCCTGTGTTCAGTAAAGCAATGTTGCCTGTGCTTATTTTAGGAGCAGCATGGTACTGAGTTCAGTTGTCTGTAGCCCAGGGCTAACAGTAGGAAGAGATGCTGTTAAAAAACTAGGCTCCCTGATGAACCTGAGGATAGCGAGCTCTCAAGATAATATAAGCCAGGTGCCAGTGCTTAACTTTCAGGAGTATTGTGGGCACAACTGTTGCAAGGAGTTATGGGATTGGAGTGGCATCCAGAGAGTCCCAACTGGGAGTTGATTAATAGAATATGGTGTTGTTCCTGGATATGAGATAGATGGCCTGTCAACAAGGGTATTGCTTAATTTATATAGTCAAAAGAAATCAATGATGGATTATCAGAGACAGAGGGCAGTAACTCAGTAAAAAATCACAATTCCTTGCTCAGTTTCCAGATCAGATTGGAACCCATTGACTGAAGGAGGGGCTGATTCTTTAGAAGTCAGGACCCTTTAATACCAGGGCAGATATATTTATTTGTTATTCCTCTGGTACTTAACCAGGGGAGTTAAGACTAGTTACTCAGGTAAATGTGCTATGCGGAAAAAAGAGGAATACTCAGAACTTTTGAAGATTATTGAACACTGGTTCTGAATTTACACAAATATCCGGAGACCCAATAAACCAACACCACTGCATATTAAAATGAGGGGTATATAAAGGCTATCAGAGTCCTAGCCAGTCTGGTTCTCAGAGGGCCCACTACTCTATTGACCAATCTGGTGGTCCTTCTCCTAATCTCCAAACGCATAATTGAAAGGGACACCCTTGGTAGTTTGAAGAACCCTCACAGTGATTCCTTGATTTCTGGAATAAGAACTATTGTAGTGGGGAGGGGCAAGTAGAAGTTTCTGAAACTTCCTACTCCAGAAAAAAGAGTAAATGAAAAACAATGCTGAATTCCAAAGGGGATGGAGTAAACTAATGAAACTTTCAAAGAGTTGAATATTATGATAACTCCTACCATACCCCAGGCAAGTTCTTGCAAAAATCAACTAGAACATGGCAGGTGATAAGACAGTAGCCCCAGTTGCAGCTACTGTGCTCAATGTATTTTTTGTTTGTTTGTTTTTGGTTTTGTTTTGCTAGAACAGGTTAAAATAGCCTCCAGCACTTGATATAGCAAATGTGTTTCTAGCCACACCTATCAGGAACACGAAGTGGATGCCATTGGCATTCCCTTGGGATAAATGATGGTTTATGGTCTTGCCCTCAAGTCTTTGCAAGTTTCTTACACCCTTTATCAAGATGCAATCTGAAATAACCTGGATTTTATGGACATTCTGTAAAATGTCATATTGATTCACCATATGATTGGCATCATGTAGTAGGACCAGATGAGAGATACAGGGAAAGTATATTGGAGGCCTTGGTTTATACATAACATATACACCAAACTCTAAGGTTTATAAACTATAAACCTTAGAGAATAGGCAGTAAATCTTACAAAGATTCATAAGACTTCTGATTCCAGACAAGATGGAGTAGACACATTCTGCCTACGCCTCCCACTAAAGACTTTGGAATATATATATATATATATCTCAAACATAATAAGGCTCTAAAAGTTGGGGGAAAAGAGGTAGATCAGGTAGGAACTTTGGGATCCAAGGAGTGACATTAAAGCGATTTCCCGGGCTTCCCCTACCCCCAACTCCCCTTATGTATCCCAGACTGAGTGGGATACAGCAACCCAGAAATGCCAAAAGATCCAGTCATCACCCCCACCACAAAAACTACTTGGTTTCCCATTTTTCCCTTTTGGTAAATGGCCTGCTGTGTTTGAGAAGTAATGGCAGTGGAATTGGGTGAAGAGGGTAGCAAGGGTGGGTGGAGGTTAAGAAGGATTCAAATGATAACCTGCTGATCAACAAATTTTAACTGTATTTTATGATTTGGTCATATTGGTTATCATGTATGTAGAGCTAATCATCAGTGGTGATGTCAATCATCACATGAGCTTTCTAGGAATACATACATTCTAAGTTGTTCACTCAATAGCACAAATTCATTTTCATTGACTTTATAAATTAAAAATCTATTGGCCAACTTCAGAAACAAGTGAACTGAAATATCTTAGCCTCATTTAAGTGGAATATTCTGTCCCATTTAATAAACTAAGATAAATTATTATTAAGTTGGGGGGTGGGAGGATGGGTTAGCCTGGTGGTGGGTATTGAGGAGGGCACATTCTGCATGGAGCACAGGGTGTTATGCACAAACAATGAATCATGGAACACCATCTAAAACTAATGATGTAATGTATGGAGATTAACATAAGAATACAAAAAATTATTATTAAGTTAAATTTAATTCCTTTGAAGTCCATACAGTAAATCAATCATATGCAAGTTTATTATAGTGTTTATTGTTTTATTGGTAATTGAACTATTTGAATGGAATATAAGTCAATTAGTTGAAAAATAGAGACACTGTGAAACTAAGAAGTATTTAAATTAAGAAATGTTGAAACACATGAAAAGTGAATGTGAAAATGGACAAAACTCAAGACAAGTTCTGGCTTGTTGAAGAGGTAAGTGTGGTGCCCTGGGCATTACAAGTAAGATGAGCTATTTGCAGCAGTTTCTCAACACTTCCTCATTCAGAATTTCTTATTCAAAGAACTCAATGAGAAGAGCCTAAGAATTCTGTCTTCAGCTGCTGAGCAATCTGTAAGAGGCTTGGAAACTCCCCAAGACCAGGATTGACAGCCATCCCCATCACCTCTGCTCCTTGAATGCCTGATTCTGATTCTCTTTGAAGATGCCAGGTCCCAAAGGAGGTTGCAGGACGTAGGCTAAGGGTTGAACTCACCAAGACGGGACAAAAGCACTCTGAACAGTGCTTCCTTCATTGCCCACTGAAACAAATTCTGAATTCCATTTTTATGGCACATCACACCAGGATCACATATAATCCTAGAGTATCTTTATTTGTTCTATAATTTAATAGTACACCTATAAAATAATTACATTATACTTATAGCTTTTCTTCATTTATAAACAGACAAAAAAAACAATTAAATACAATTTGAGCCATTATAAGGTAAACTTTGTACATATAAGAACCCCCAGAAGGAGCTTCACACTGCAGCATATCATATTGCTTCTATTGCTACACCCACAATTGGGTTCAAAGAGAGTGCGCTCATGTTTGTATTCTGTGAGTTCATAGCTTAATCCTTCCTCTATCTGTGTGGGTTATGTGTTAATAAAATGACAGGGTTGGCTTTGCAGTCAGCCAGAGACTCCCATCCGCTCCCACCCTACTCTACTCCATTGGCCTCTGTTAGGGTCATGTGAACCTCCTTCCTTCACAGCTTTTCGCTGTGTGTTCTGCACTGAGTCTGACTTGAGGTTTTCTATTCAATGCAAAAATAATTTCTGAACTTGGACACACTCTCCACTCTTTCTTTCCATCCCAAGGTTCCAGCCTTCAAGGATTTCTGTTGAGTTCTGCTCCTGATTCAGGGCTGTATATACCCATTTCTAAAACGAATACCCCTTTTTACAACAGCACATTCTGCTCAGGGCTCATGGAGTTACAGAAGAGACAGACATGAAACCTGCAGTGCAGAAGCAGGAAATGGAGTCAGGGACACACCACGCCTTGATCTCCAGGTGAATGCACCTAGACCCGCCCCCATCACTGTCTAACTTCAGGAAGCCTCAGTCCCCCAAGCAGTTTGTAGAGGGTCCCACAAACCTGGAAATGGGCCTTTCTGAGTGCCCTTGCAGCAGTACTTGAGACTCGGTGCTCAGAAATTACCAATGAAAGGTTTTCAAAGTATGCTGATTCCCACCAACATCTCATTCACATTTATCAGATTCCATAAACATTACTCACAGGGAAGCCTCTGTGGGGCAATTTAGCAAAGGGACTGAAACTAAGTATAATTTTGCAAGAAAATAAATTATGTCAGCTTTGTTCTGCCAAGAGACCGCAACATGAAAACCTTATTGATTCCTTATAAAAATAAAAGGTGAGCTGATGTTTGATCATCCTTTAAAAAAAAAAGTCCATTCTTTGAAAAGGAAGCTTCTGTAGCTTAACTAGATTTCTATTCTATATATTTTATCTTTTACTTTCTCCTACACCACAAAGTGACCTGACTCCTTATATATTTAAATATTTCTCTCTTTTACCAGGAATTTTTTGTTTTGTTTTGTTTAGTGTCATGGTAGTAAAATAGTAGACCTTCTCACACCACATATGCATATTAAACATCACAGGGCTTTTGAGTTCCCTGTTGACGACTTCCTAGTGAGTCCCCTCCCTACACCCATCCATCCCAACCCACTTCCTACCTTGTGCTGCAGTGCTTCAGTACCTTCAGTGAAGTATTATTCATTGTAAAATCACAATGTAAAATCACCTGCCTTCTCCCTGCCCAATCTAAGAATAGGTGCATGACAGTGAACTGCTGATCAGGCATTATTACTGAGTGAACCCCGCTGTGAGCCTTACTCAGAATGGTGCTGCAAAGCCAGAGTCCAAACTCGTGAAACAATACATGGATAGGTCTATAGTGCTTTTGAACAGCTCTTTACAATACAGGTCAATTACAAAACCAGCGTTAATATGGAGACCTTTGTGTGTAATAATATTCTAATTGCAGCGATAATAGCATGCACACCAGAGTTCATCTGAGTCCACGGAGGTGGGCGGGGGAGGGAGGTGGGGGACGTGGGCAAGAAAAGGTGGTGGTGGCTGGGGGTGGGGGAGAGTGTGGCCTGCTGTGAGCAAGGTCCCCAGGGAAGCCCATTTCATGATCCCAGTGGCTCAAGTCGTCTTCTCGGCTATCGGGTTTGTTAGGAGAACCTCCCTGTGCACGGACATTGTCCGGATCCGCATCACAGCAGCGCGAGGGCAGCCCTCCCTTCACCGGGGAACCTCGCAGCCGGAGGGCCCCGGGCCCAGCGGGAGAGGGGTGAGGGCCGCATCCTTCACTTCCTGGGAAAAGGGGAGCTGGAGTGGAGGGTGAGGCCCGGGAAAGACTCGCTTTTCCACACGGTGGAAACATCAATGCCCCATCGGCAGCGCAGCCCCAGAAAGGCCCCCTCTCCGACCGCTGGCTGGGGGGTAGTGGGTTTCCAGCCGCGGCCCGCAGGCCTGAAACGCAGCCTGTTGGGGACGCCCAGGAGGGGCCCGCGGTCGGCCGGGAACACAGCAGCGAAGCTCCCCCTGCGGCGCGCGCGTGAGACAAGGGCGCCGTCGGCCCCGGGAAACGTGCTTGCGACGGAGGGGGCCACCGGGCAGCGCGTGCGTGGGCTCAGAGGACGGGGACGGCGGCGGCGGCGGCGGCGGCGGCGGCGGCGGCGGCGGCGGCGGCGCGCAGAGCGAGTTGCGTCCCGCCGCGGGGGCTTCACTGCTTGTCCGAGTCGCTCAGGTTCACGGACATGCACCGGCACTGCTTCACCTTCTGGATCTTCTTGAGTCGGAAGGGAGGGTCCATCCCAGGGCATTCGAGCTCCACGAGGACGGAGGTGACGCGCTGGGGCTTGCAGAAGGCGCACGACTGGAAGGACTCCTCCTCCTTGCGGACGTGGCGCGGGATGTAGAAGGAGTTGCACTGGCCATAGCAGAAGCGGTTGAGGATGGTGCGGCTGCGGCAGCCCTCCTCGCTCACCGTCTGCCGCAGCGGCTGCGTCTTGCACCAGTCACTCTTGAGGTACTTGCGCTCGGTGACCACCAGGGCCTCCTGGCTGGAGGCCAGCACCTCCTTGATCTGGTGCTGCCATCGCTCCGAGTGGTTGCTGCTGCCGTCCTTGTAGGGCGAGGGGATGGCGCCCGCAGGCCGGTTCTTGCGGGCCTCCGCCACCTTCACCAGCACGGCCACCAGGCACAAGGACAGGGAGAGCTTCCAGAACATCCTGCAACGAGAGAAGAGCGAGAGCATTTGGCTGGGGCGGGTGCTGGGTTTCCTGGTTTCATTAGGAGGAGCTGCAGTCCGGTGGGGCAGCTGGGAAGTGAGAGGGCTTAGAGGCCACCTGCGGACAGCAAGGATGCTCTCCGAAAGGCTTCCCCGAAGGCAAGGCGAGGGACGCAAGGGTAAGTAAAAACGAAGACAGAACACGTACACATGTTGAACCGCTACGGAAGAATCACAAAGCAAAGGTCGCCAAAAATAGCCCAAGCCGGTTTGCCGCAGTGCCACTCATAGTTAACAAGTGTACTGCATTTTCATGTAGGACGTGAGCAGTACTGTCCTATGCACATAACGCGTGTACCTCATTTGATCCTCAAAACAGTTTTAAGTTGGAGGTTATCATACCTACATTACAGTGAAGGAAACTGAGGCCCACAGACGTAATTGGCCCAAGGTTGCACAATAACTGAGAAATGTCCAGGAGCCAGCCATCTCCCTCCGGAGCCACCGAAAATAACCACAAGAGGTGGATCTGATCAGGAATATTAGCAAAAAGTAAAGGAAAGGTGGGCATGGTTCACAAGTTTCTTCCAAATGAGTACTAAACTTAGGAATGGACACAGATCAGGGAAAGTAATATTTACCACCTCTGGTAATTGTTAGGAATAAAAAATTACATTTAACATCTGCACAAAGATATTCAAGTTAATTCAAGTGAGTCATGAATTAGATTCTTGTAGTGGAAACCACGTTCCAGTCGTGGAAGGAATTGCCAAGGTATTGCCAAGGTTGTATTAAAACTGCCTTAGACAATGCAATGGTAACCCACATGAATAGAATATTTCTTCTGTGTTATAGGGCCTCATGACCCAAGTGTGCAGGGAGCTAGAGCTAGAGAGAAACTTACTTTGAATCATGTCCTGTAGGAAGAAAACCAAGTCTGACTGAAAGATGGACTTCTTTGAAGTTTAATTCATAGTTTCCATTGTTATATTTCCATTAATACCCTCGAGGGACAGCAATACCCCTCAGTAGAGATGATTCTTATCTCCTGATGACTGTAGCTCCTTCATTATCCTTGTCATCCTCACCATCATATTCATGTTTATTCATTGCCTCCCTGCGTATTTTACCACCTCTAGAACTGCATGAGACTCTCATTCCTTTAACATGTACACACCAAAATGGCAGGTAGAAATTATATATATATATATATATATATATATATATATATACATATATATATAAACATTATATGGTTCTTTAATGCACACTTAAAATTTAATATTAAATATATTAACTCCCTCAACTATCAATGTCTTATCAATATATTTCTGCTAATAATAATAGTTTACATTTATTGGTGTTCAAAACTCATCCCTCTTACGGTTTCATATGTAAACATATCAAAATTCTATGAAATAGGTAATATTATTTCTCCCATTTTATGGATTAGGAAACTGAGGCATGGAGAGCCTTTACAACTTATCAAGATCATATGGCCAGTATGTGAAATATTTGAATCCTGGCTCCATGCATCCTGGCTGCAGGTGAGTATAGCTATCTTGTTGCTAAAAATATTTGTGTTAAGGGGCACCTGGGTGGCTCAGTTAGTTAAGCACCTGCCCTCCGCTCAGGTCATGATCCCAGGGTCCTGGGATTGAGCCCTACGTTGGGCTCCCTGCTCAATGTGGAGTCTGCTTCTCCCTCACCCTCTGTGCCTGCTTGTGATCTCACTCACTCACTCACTCTCAAACAAATAAATAAAATTTTTTTAAAAATTTGTGTTAAAATATCTAGGCTAAAATATTTCTATATGTCATTATTAGTCTAAGTGTAAACCACAAGAGGCTTTTGGAAACCACATAGCAGAGAATTCCTTCATTTATCAAGTTTTGTTGAGTATTTATTCTGGAACAAACTGTAATAAGCCTTGTGAATTCCAGTACCTCCCTCAGAGACAAAGAGCAAGTTCTTCCAGTGTCAGATGAGCCCTAACAAGATCTGCTCTCCCTGTTCTCATCTCATGGACCTCCTCATCTACACTCTCCTACTTGCTCTGCTCCAGCAACACTGACCACCTTTCTGTTTCCAGAATGTATGTGGCGTTTTTCTGCTCTAGGGCCTTACGTTTGCCTTTCCCCCAGATATCGACATGGCCTTCTACCACAGTCTTCAGGTCTCTGCTCAATTATCGCCACCTTCGTGAGGCCTTCGTGGGTAACTTCATCACAAGCCTGCCATTCACTGTCTCCTTCATCCCTGCTTTGTTTTTGTCCCTGGCACTTAGCATCTTAGAAGATAGTACCGAAGGATCTTATTAAATTTTGCATTGTCTGACTTCCCCAACTGGAATGTAAGGTCCAAGAAAGAAGGACCACCTGTTTATCCTGCACTCCAAACAGTGTCTGGTACATAGTAGGTACTCAATAAATATGTGTTGAAGGAAATACGAATACCCTGCATTTTGGCATGCAGATGACAGTGCTGTAGTTTTGGGAGGCACAATGAATGGTGTAGGTTTGCACAGCCAAGAACATCTGAATCACTGGGATGCTTTTAGATGTAGATTCCTCAGCTCCACCCCTGAATCTGTATCTGAATCAGTAGAGTTGAGGTGGAGCTTGAGATCTGTATTTTAAAGAACTGCTTCCAGTGATTTCCATGGGCCAGTGCCCCAGGGGATAAGGGGGGGACACAAGGAAAAAGCATCAGTTCGTCCTGGACAGGGAACAGGGGAGGCCCAGGAAGTAACAGCTAATGAGTGTCTTAAACTTCAAATAGGATTCTTGCAGGCAGGGACACTGCCAAGAGTGCAGAGTTAGGTAAATGTAATGACAAGAGACAAGGGAAGTACAAATGTTGAGAACAGAGGCAGGGGGCGGGGGGGAGAGGAAAGATTTTCTTTTTTTAGAAAAGCATTTTTGTGCAATACAAGTACTGAAATTTTGAGGCCGAATTTTTAAAGAACTTTCCTCATGCCTCCTTAGTTCCACACATGAATTGTCACATGAAAATGGCCACGCTTCCAGCAGATTCATGGCAAGCACTGAGTATTGGACTCATTCAACTTACACAGCTTATTATATTTGCAGAATGATTTGTGATCTCAATAGTCTCTTAAAAAGAAAGTATGTTGGTTCCATTTTAATAATTTCCAAAATTATTAACATTCTGAATAAACACAACCAAAAGTTTTAAGTCCCAGCCATGGAAAGATTTACAGAGTCAGCCTGGTCCTCAACCCCGAGTTCCAGGAACAGCTTCACATGCATCTTTGATAGGCTCAAAGTTGCATGCTTTCACTCAATAGGTCCTAGCTGTTGTCAGGGAGAACAGAACTAAAACATATTCTGATCATCTTGGGGTAAAAACTCTTAGATTTGCAGTATTAGATGTGATGATTAACAACATGCATTCTTTGAACTCTTTGAAATATTTTTCACAACATCTGGCAATCACCCTTCGAAGTTACGCGTCACACAAGAACCTAAGAAGGAAAGCAAACCTCTCATTTTACAAGACCAGGAAAAGAGGCTGATGATACAGCTAGGGGACTGGGGCCAACCCAGGCTCTTCTCTTTCCTTCCCTCCATCTCGTTTCTTTATTCCTTCACATGTAGCAACAGGAACATTGCCAAGCGTCTGGAATCTCGATGTCAGGACAGGTAAGTAGGCAAGAGGTATTTTGCTTCAGTGACTGTTAGGCTTTTCACTTCAATCAAGGACACTAAAGCAACTGAGTCAGTTTTTGCTCAGGGCACATTCTCCACTAGCCCTTTAGTTTGTGGGGTCCTCAGGGGAGAGAACATGTATGCCTCTTTGTTCAGTTCACTAACTATCACGCACACACACACACCTGAAGTTAGCACTCAGAGTCCTGCTTGGCCTTGAATCACTTTGCTACTCAGAGAAATGGTTTGCATACAATTAACCTCTCAGGAATGTTGCCATAATCGCTGGTCCCACCGCACCAACATCCTTCATTTTACCCTCACACCTTGTGTTTGGCTTGTCTCAGAAGAAACTCGTAAATAAATCCTTTCGGTTTTATTAACCATCCTTGTGGCCTGACAATGTTCTCAGTTTGCAAGGGGTGCCAGGACCGTCAATGCTGATATGCTAAGCAGTCTGGGTCCGTCAACGTGGGTTGTGTACAGAGAGAGACGGCAAAAGCACTTTCTTCTTAAGTAATGCCCTGGGGCCTGGCCTTTCTTGGTATCAGAACAACGGCTGCACAGGCCAGGATAGTATCTAGGCAGCTAAGAAATAACTGGCCCCTTCTATCAGCCTTTTCTAGAAGCCTCAAGGGGTTCTGCAATAGGAGCTTGAGCAGTAATGCTTCCTGATTTCTAGGAAAGCCTGCTGCAGTGCTGAATCCTCCCTGCCAAAAGGTGTAAGTGACCAAAGGCCAAGGGTTCAGCTAAGCTGATTAACTCACTCCCAGAGTGACCTTGTTGAGTTTTAGAGGTCAGGTCAAAGCAGTACAGGGCTGTGCATGCGTGGTGAATGGGATGAGGCTCAAACATTTTCTGTGACCTAAGTAAGAATTCTAGACATCCTTGGCAGGTTGAAGAGAAGCACCCAGGGCTGAATATGGGCAGGCACATCTGGGATAAACTTGCTCCCACGGCCCAAGTGAAAACGGAATCCAAATCAAACAGCAAACTCCAAACAAAACCCCTAACGGTGTTAGAATTCAACGATTATTTTTATGAGTTTTACTACTAGAACCTCAACAGCCAAAGGTACTTCATCCGTGACATAGATTCTTAGTTTGGGAGGCTGTGGCTGAGGTCTCCAACTGAGGTGGGTATTCCTTGGCTCTGGGATCAGCCTCTTAGCCTAAAATCACTTGTCTGCTGAAGCCACTTACTTTCAGCAACTGTAATCTGCCGCACACCATAGCCCATGGGCAGATCCCAACCCGCACGCTGTTTCTGTAAGCAAGCTTATATTGAACACAGCCATGCCTGTTTAGCTACATTTTCTTTATGGCTGCTT